CCTTCATTAACCTTTCTTAAAGTGTTTGGTTATGTTTGTTTTGTACATGTTCCAAAGGTTAAGCGCGACAAACTTGACAAGAAAGCAATTCCGGGTATTTTTGTGGGATATAGTTCAGTTTCAAAAGTCTACAAAGTGTATCATCCTCAAACCGGGAAGATGACTATCACTGTAACACCCCAGTTTTAATTATTTGATTTATTTAAATGGGAAATTATTTTATTAGAATTAATAAAATAAAAAGGAATTATCTATTTTGGAATATTTGAAGAAAATAAAAGAAATAAGAAAACATTGGGTTTTTAAGTTATTGGGCTTGGATGTCGTTAGTAAAGAGTGGGGGTGCAAAAGAAATAAGGATATATTTTGGAACTCAAGTTATTTTCTCATTATTCACGATAACACAGAATTTGGGAAAATTGGGAAGTTGAGCTCTGAAGGTGCGAAGAACGAAGAACATCGCTCAAAGAACTCAAGCTGCAATTTGATAAGGTAAGGGGGGCTACTACTCAATTTATATTTGCTTATGGGTTTAGATGCAATTGGTTGGGTAATCGTAGGATAACCCCATATTCTCTGATGTTCTTAGTGATCGATAACTTTAGGGTCGAATTTCGTTAGAAAAGATTAGGTTCCCTAAAGGTTGTGAATCGATTAAGAAATTAATCCCCATTGTTGATTTAGATCGAAATTGTATGATCGTGAGTTTACCTTAGGTGTTCTAGGGATAACCTCAATGTTGTTAGGATTTCCCTAAAGGACGGGTAATATGTAACTTAAGGTCAACTTTAATAAAACTTGTTGTTGATGAAAGAATTGTTGATAAAATAGGATGTTTTAAAAATGAAAATTCTGAGTTTCGATTGATTTTGGAAAATGAGACCTTAAGTGAAATAATGATGTCCTTAAGATTTGGAAATTGACTAACGTAGAAGGGAATTGTGTTTCCAATTGATGTGTTGCTTTGAGTTATGCATAATTGATGTTGTTATGTACCGCAATGCACGTTTTGGCCGGCATTTTCGCGTTTGGTTGCTGTTCTGAGCCTGCTGCAGGTACAGGAAAAATATGTACGCGCTCATCAACACGGGCCGTGTTGATTCACACGGGCACCCGTGTTGATCTGCTGGATGGGAGAAAAAAATGTGTTTCCAGACACATTTCAACACGGGCCGTGTTGATTCACACGGGCACCCGTGTTGATCCCCTGTATTGGCAAAATAACGTGTTTTCTGGACACATTTCCACACGGGCAGTGTTGATTTACACGGGCACCCGTGTTAAACCTCCTGTGTTGGTTTCTGAATTTTGTTTTCTGTGCTTTGTTATGGTGTACAGGAATGATTTTGTTTAATGTGCAGTGTTTGTTAGTTTTGAACATGCTGCTTAATGATATGCATAGTATTGTGGAGGCTTGTGTCGAATAATGTTTGTATGTTATGACACCAACACTATGTGGATTTTATTGTCATGCTTTTAGATAATGTTATCAAGCATGGATTATGATATAACTTGATATGATTGGTTGATGTTTAATAGTATGCTGAGTGATTACATGCTATTCATATCATGTTATATTTGATATTGTTGATGTTACATGATATGGTTTATTGATGTTAATAGTATGCTGAGTGTTACATACTGTACATATCATGTTGCATTTGTTAATTCCCATTGTGTGGAATTAACATGGTGGCCAATATACGTGTCCGCGATTTAATGGAACGTTGAGGTGGTAGCCGTGTCCGCGATATAATGGAACGGTGAGTTATCCGTGACCCGAGATTTAATGGGGCGGTAAAATGGTACCACATGCATGGGTGTGTTGCATTATATTGAGTATAACATGAATGGATGATTTTCCAATGTTGTATTTAATTGATTGTATGCATGGATTGTTGCTGAATTGTTAATGATGCTTGATGTTAATTATAAGTATGAAAAGTAAAATATTATGAATATATGAATTGTAAAGGTTTTCGTAAACTATGAAACATGCTAACTGTTTGGGTGATGCTTATGGCTTTCTGAATTGATTGTTATGAACGTATAATCAAATGTATAGTTGAGATGCTCACCCTTACTATTGAATATTTCAGATTGAGGAGCTTCATTCAGGTGCTTGGCGAAGGCTTGTTGTTTCTAGTTTATTTCCGTTTAAGTATTGTCCGGGTCATGCTCTGATAGTTGTAACTCCGGGAACGTTTGTTTGTCGAGCTGCTTTAGTCAGACTCGTTTATTCCTTACGTTTGTTATAATATGATGCTGATATATTCCAGGTGTTAATCCCTGATGATTTTGAAAATATTATAACATTGGTTTTGTTAATTAAATTATTCCGCTGTGTAAACATGTATGAGTTGCTTCTATGTTATGCATGACAGGAACTGGTTTTTATTAAAAGAGAATTGTGACATCTTCGTAAATACATGTACTCTGAAAATATGATTTTAATTATTTGCGAAAATTTTATGTGGGGTTTTAGAGGGTGTTACAATCACTAGAGATATGCACTGCAATGAAGATCATCAATGGGATTGGAAAAGTCCAAAAAGAACATTTGGTTCACTCATCAATATCAAAGATACTTACCCGGAAAAGAAAACAATTGAGTTGTGTCTGGATGAGTTAGAAGACGATCCTTCCATTAAAGGGACAAGGTTGCTATCAGACATCTATCAAATATGTAATGTAGCAATATGTGAACTTTCTTGTTGTGAGGAAGCTCTAAAAGATCCGAAATGGAAAAATGCAATTGAGGAGGAGATGTCAATGATACACAAAAACAAAACATGGGAGCTGGTTGAAAAGCCCCGAGATAGAAAGGTCATTGGTGTTAAATGGATTTTCAGAATAAAGCTTAATGTTGATTGCTCAATCAACAAATACAAAGACATATTCGTCGTTAAAGGGTATGCGCAAATTTTTGGTGTTGATTATTCTGACACTTTTGCACTTGTGTCCAGATTAAATACAATTAGATTGGTGTTAGCAGTTGCTGCTCAAAAAGGCTGGAAAGTATTCCAATTAGATGTCAAGTCAGCTTTTTTAAATAGAGTTTTACAAGAGATATATGTGGAACAGCCAGAAGGTTTTTTGGTGTAAGACGAAGAAGATAAAGTCTATTTGCTCAAAAAGGCTCTTTATGGGTTAAAACAAGCACCAAGGACTTGATACAACAAGATAAATGACCACTTATTGAGCATAGGCTTTGTAAAAAGCTTATCCGGGTCCACTCTTTATGTGAAACATAAGGGAAAAAAATCTTCTCATAGTTTCCCTCTATGTTGATGATCTTTTAGTGGCTGAAGATGATACAAGATTGATTGAGCAATTCAAACAAGAAATGATGCAAGCTTTTGAAATGACGGATCTTGGTCTTATGACCTATTTTCTTGGAATTGAGATAAAAAAAATGATAATGAAGTTTTCATCTTCCAGAAAAAATATGCAAATGAGATATTGAAAAAATTCCAAATGGAGGAGTGTAAAGCTATTTGTACATCAATGAACCAAAAAGAGAAGTTGAGCAAGGAAGACAGTGTTGATAAAGTCGATGAAGGATATTACGGGAGTTTGATTGGATGCTTAATGTATCTCACTGCAACAAGGTCAGACATTTTATTTGGGGTAAGTCTCCTCTCCCGATTTATGCACTGTTCTAGTGAAATGCATTTAGTAGTCGCAAGACGAATATTGAGAAATGTAGTGAAATGCATTTAGTAGTCGCAACACGAATATTGAGAAATGTTAAAGGTACTGTCAATTATGGTGTCAAATTTGAGAGTTGCCAAAACTTTAAGTTGTGTGGATTTTCAGACAGTGACTGGGCTGGATCCATTGATGACATCAAAAGCACTTCCGAATATTGTTTCAGTCTAGGCTCTGGAGTTTTTTCATGGTGCACAAAGAAGCAGGAGATAGTAGCACAATCAATTGCGGAAGCTGAATTCATAGCAGCAAATGCAGCTGTAAATCAAGTTTTATGGTTAAAGAAGATTTTATGTGATTTACATCTCCAACAGAATCATAAAATTGAAGTTTTTATTGACAACCAAGCAACAATTGCAATCTCAAAGGATCCAGTTTTTCGTGGGAAGACTAAACATTTTAACATCAAGCTCTATTTCTTAAGAGAAATGCAACAAAACGAAGAAGTGGCTTTGATTTACTGCAGGTCAGAGGATCAATTAGCAGATTTGTTTACAAAGCCACTTCCTATCGGCAAGTTTGAGTTCTTAAGGCAGAAAATTGGAGTTTGTAGATCCTAAAGGAAGAATGAGTGTTAATTATTGCTTTTGGACTGCTAACGTGGCTATTTAAATTTTTTATTCTATGTTTCAGTATTTTAAATTTTAAATTATTAGTCAATAAGTGTTTCCTATATTTTAGGAGAAAGTAGTTTTAGTTATTCTACTTCCTTATTTCGCGGGGATGTGGCGGATTCTGTTTATCCCACTTCCTAATTTAGTGGTGATTTGATTGTGTCATGGATTAAAACCCTATAGATATATTACTTTAACAAATAAAAAAAAATACAATTCTCATTCCTTTCACCTACGTATTTTTCTTATGTCTCTGCCTTTAAAATTTCCGTTTATATCATAAACCAACAACTTATATAAGCAATGTATAGTCTCGTGATTAAAAGATATGCATAAAGAAGAATGTTTTTAACTTTCTTTGAGTGTTTAATATAGTTGTTTTCTTTTCTACTTTATTCGCCCTAAATAAAAAAATTAGCTTCCTAAATCAAGAGCTTTAGAATGCTGTCCATTAAATAGACATGGGTCTAAGTTTATTTCAACTTTTTATTCTTTAAAGAGAAGATACCAAAAGGTGCAGATTTCTATAGAATATACAAAAAAATTTAAATTTATCTACAACAATCTTACATCATCTACAAGATAAAGAGAAAAACAATCAAAATTGCACTTTCATCTTTATCACAAATCATATAGTAATGATGATATTGGTTTTACTTGTATAGCAAGAAACAATCAATTTATTCCAAATGCACGTTTCGCCGAATCAAGTGAGTTCGACAGGAGCATTGATATTGTAACTGGTCCTATGCCTCCGGGAACTGGTGTAATGGCCGATGCCACCTTGACTGCTTCTTCGAAGCAAACATCTCCGGTGACACGAAAGACTCCGCTGTTGGAATCCTGCAAATTATACATTAAACTTAACCACATCAAGATAAGAATGGATTCATAAGGAACACAATTTTGTTTGTTATTGTTACCTTAACTTGATTTGTTCCCATGTCAATAACCACAGCTCCTTTCTTTATCCAATCGCCACGAACTATGTTCGGGATTCCAACATCCGCGATGACAATGTCCGCTTCAGACGTTATCTGTGCAGGATTCTTCGTGTACGCGTGTAACAAACTCACTGTTGCATGGTGCCTCTACTCAAAAGACGGTAAATCAGAGCCATATAGCAATTGAAACATTTTCTTCTCAGTTCTCACAGCAACAACATTTTTTTTGTTACCTGCAATAGCAATGAAGTTGGTAACCCTGCAATTTTACTTCTTCCAATTATCGCAATTCTTTTCCCCCGGATTTCAACACCATGCCTATGTAACAACTCAATGCAGCTCTTTGAGGCACAAGGTATAAAGAAGGGTTTTCTTCCTTGAATCGCAAGGTTTCCTATGTTTAAAGGATGAAATCCATCCACATCCTTTTCAGGACGAATAACATTCATGATTCTTTCCTCGTCGAGATGCTGCATCAAATGTTTTAGAATAGAACTTTAGATCAATTTGAATCCTTCTAGGTGCTAATAATTCACACGATGGATCAGTCCATACAAAACTTTGCTCTACACAATGAGATTGATCCCCTTAGATTAGTCGGTCACAAGGCCAGATACCAAGTTTTTTAGGAAAAAAAACAACTATTACATATTAGTAGATAGTTACTAGTTTGTTGCCTGTGAATACACCCGATTTAATCACTCGGAGGTAACCTTTTTCAATCATAGATATCATATTTCTTAACTTAGTATAAGAGTTACGGCACTTTTGTACTGTATTTCATTCTTTTTTTTCCCCGCAGATGATATTTCTATGTTTGATCTCTCAATGTTTTGTATATCTCTTATCGTTATAACCGCACAAAACCCTATCACAGTCGTTGTTCACTTTCGGTTTCAATCATTTTCGCTAGTGATCTAGTTCATTTCTACCTCGACATTTCTTGATTTGAGTTTTGACATGATATTTCTACATTCAATTTCTCAATGTTTCATACATCTCTTCTCGTCATACACAACAAAACCCTATCAATGTTGTTTTTCACTTTTGGTTTTGATCTTTTTCACTAGTGATCTTGTTCATTTCTACCTCGACAACTCTAGAATCGACAACTATCGCAAACCAATCTAAGATCTGTTGGATCAACTGTTACTATGCCACCCGAGTCACACAAGTAGTATGTCAAGAGTTTCACATAAGTTGTGACACGACTCGAAAAAAACTCTTTAAGTAGCAGACATTTCTCACCTTACAAACCAAATTTAACCAATTTCGTGCTGATTGAGTTAAGCCTAAACCGAATTCTAAGATGGTAAACAACAACAACAATAACAACTAAAAAGATGTATAAGTTTTATAAACAAACTACCTGAGGTAGAGGAAGTTGCACAACTATCCCATGCACATCTTGGTCATCATTGAAACCAGAAACAACATCAAGCAGTTCATTTTCACTACAACTTTGTGGCAACTCAGAAACCACAGTTCCTATTCCAACTTTTTCACAAGCTTTCTTCTTAACATGAATGAAAGTGTGAGAGTCCTTTCTATCACCAACCAAAACCACAGCCAATCTAGGAAACTTCCCAATCTCACTCTTCATCTTACTTATCTCATCAGCCACTTTCAACTTTATCTCTTTAGCAATTGCTTTACCTTCAAGGATTGTAGCACTATCACCATCATTAGTCCCTAAAATTTACACCACAAAAAAATTTAATTTTTTTTTCTAGTCCCTATAAAATTCAATGACCCTTTAACTTAAAATGACCAAAATAGATGTTAGAACTTACATTGGAAACTTTGTGGCAAAAGGGTATGAGGGGAAGTGTTGTTCTCTTTAGGAGTCCAAACATCAGGAAGATTAGGGCCAAGAAAAGTACAAGAATGAAAATGCAATGTTTTTTTTAGAGTTTTATGCCATGGTGTTGGCTCAAAAAAAGAATGAAAATGCAAAGCTTTTCTCATGTTTAGTGGGGGAGATTATTGAAGACACAAGACACTGTGAAGAATTTGTGTGTTTTTTGTGACAACAATGTTGTTTGTTCAATGAGTTTTGTTTTGTTTTGGTTTGGTTTGTTGTGACAAGAAGATAATCTTTGTTGTGAATTTTGAGATGTAGATTTGAGGAACTTAGCTAAATCCTTTGACTTGTTTTGTGATCTGCCACGTCACCAAAATATACTAGTACTAATAATAAATTGTTAAAAAGAATAAGAAAATACACTAGAAGACCAATAAAGCTAGTAAAGAAAAATAAAATTGATATTAAGCTTTTTTTTTTCCTAATAACTTAATGTTAACATTTTAATATTTTAAAATAAATAAATGAAATATCACAAATTTAAATATATTTTTGTAAATACAACTACTAGCTAAATTGATTTAACAGGAAAAAAAAATTCATATTAGACTTTTTTTTCAACAACTTAATTTGATTGAAATTTCATTCTTTAAATATATATAAATTAAATATAGTAAATTCGAATACATGTCTAAAATGTTTCTTACAATTAAAAACATAATTCAGTTAGGGATAAAATTCATATAAACTTAATAACCAATATAAATATACATTTAAAAGTTATATATTAAAAGAGAAAATGAAATGAATAGATGAAGATAAAAATGTATATTTTTTGAAAAGAAAATATATATTCAATTTTAAATTTTAAATTTAACTTGAGTTGTATTTACTTAAACTCGAGTTTATAAATTAATTATAAATTTAAATAAAATTAGACAAATAATTAGTCTAATTCAAATTTTAAGAGATGATTATTTTTTATATGGAGTTGATTCAACAAATAATCAAAATTAAAATTTTATTCAAAACTTTGAATCGAATAAAATATTTTTTAAAAAAAGTTTAATTTTGTTCTGATTTAGTCAAAGGTCCAAATAAATGAGGCACAATTCACTTCACATGACTCAAGGTATAAAAATCATTTCACATGAAATATAAGATACACTTTCTAGTTATCATTTTCACTACACTCATCTTGAATCTTGAGCTGATTTATACGTTAGAGTGATAATCTTGCAGGTCCACCCCACGTCGCCGTATCCGAGATCAGCACCACGTATTCAAGATTTGCATCAATCAATTACATTCAATTATGGTTCCTAAACAAAACAATGCCGTCATCCACTACGCCAAAAATGATTTTTTGTATCACCTAATTTAATAGCACTTTTAAAAAAAATGCTATTAAAATAGAAAAAACACATTTATAATAGCACTTTTTAATCGGGCGCTATTATATAATACAGACTATGTAATTTTGATAGCACTTTGTACCAGAACGCTATTATTAAACTTCTTTAAGATAGCATTTTGTATAAAACGCTATTATTTGACTACCTATATAATAGCATTTATTGAAAAGCGCTATGTTATATATATAATATTAAAAAAACCTTAAACTATATTTATATAAAAAATGAATGAACTAAGATCAAAGTTAACATTTCTTTAGCAGCAGCATTGAGTTAACTCAAAACCATAAAGAAACAAAAATTTCAAGGATTTGAATCAGTTGGCAATACAAAGCCTGAGCTGAAGTAAAGAGGAAGGGGAAAAAAATGACAGAAGCAAACAACCTGAGAGACGCCCGGAGAAGAAGAAGAATCCTCCAACAAGGATCCGACCGTCTTGCCTTCATCCAGGGTCGGATCCAAACCCTCCCTCCTCCCGGTAACTACCTCTTCTCTTCTCTTTCATTTCAATTTTCTCTCTTCTTATTGCTTCTGTAATCATCCATCTACAAACCCTAGAATTCAATTTTGATTTTACAACTGCTTTTCTTCAGATCTGCCTCACTCCAACGACGAGGAGCAGGAGTATCCGAATTCCGTTTTGCAGAATCACGTTGATGCCGAAATTTTGCCTGAAAAACAACACAGTGAAAGTGAGATTTTAAGTTTCCCCAATTCTGAAATTGAACCTGAACATGTACAAGAATCACAACCTCTATTTCAACCTCAACCACCAACAACACATCAAGATTCATCTGATGAAATTTCCCAGCTCGAAGAACCTAGAAGTTTCGATTTCATAAGCCCTAGGGATGTGACGAATGCCGTTGATGCCTCAAGGTTTACGCGTCTTTGTTGTTCGATTATAGTTGCCTTATTGGTTGTTGCCTCTTGTCTAGGATTCTCTTTGATTAAGACTATTATAAGCTTTAGACCACTTTACTTGGTTCTCCTCACAAATTCGTCTTTTGTTGTTGCGAAAATTATTTCTGGGAAACAAAGAGGCTCTGATGAAAGGTTGAGGAGGAGACGGAACAGCGCCAGTGCCAGCGCCAGCGCTGATTCTTCTGATCAATATGCACAGCTTGCAAAAACATTGGAAATTGGAATGGTGCTGAAGACTGTGGCTGATGCTGTCTTCATGGATTGTGCTGTCTATGCTATTGTGCTCATATGCAGCCTTTCCCTTGTGCATCACTGATATAAGGGCTTCTTGTACTTGGTTTGAAATTTTGAACCCTTTTTCTTTTGTTCATCGACTTCATTGTTTTTGTGATCTAGGATTATTAACTAGTATTAGTGCACTGATTACTTCTATTTTGTGTTAATTTTATTGCTTTTTGCTAACACTACTCATTCGCGATTCTTATATAGACTAGTATTACAGTAGAAATATCTGTGTTATATATAATAACTTTTCTAACAAGAGCTATCCTCTTTGACAGATTATTGAATATAATATCATGCATTCATTTTTCCTTTGTATAAAACTTATAAAAATATTTCTGATACTCATGGGATTTGCAACAAAATATAGGCTAATATTTCCTTACTATATTGAATTCACAATAATATTCTTGTCTTGTAGTGATAGGAGTGGGAGTTATGGTGGTAGAATTGGCAAGTAAATAAAAAGGTACACTGTCAAATAAATAATGAAGGTGCACTGTGGAGATTGGTTGTTTTGTCCTGTCTGAGGGAAACAAGTTGTGATTCCCACAAAATTCCACTACCAAAACACTTTTGATCTGAAATAAGGTCTCTATCTGAAGCAGAAAGAGTAGAAGGGGTAACTTCATTAGTCATGTCCACGAGATCTCTTCCACCTTCCAAATAAATCGTTCACCAGTTGTCACCGATCGATGAATTCCACGGTGCCACGACATCCAGCAACTGTATGTCGCCAGATTGCCTTCTAATGATGATGAACACTGACGTTCATCGGAGAGGAGATCGATCAGAGTTTGGATTTCTTGATTGCAAAAAGATCGATAAAATTTCAAACTTTGATCTACTTCGGATTCTTGCAGTCACCTTCGCTGATCAAAACCTTACAAGATTCCTCGTAGATGATAAAAGCTCTTACAACATCCTCTACGCTGATACGTCGGAACTGCTAGCCTCCAACATAAAAAGTTGAATCCATATACTATGGGAGATCTGTTGGTATAAAAAGTTGAATCCATATACTATGGGAGATCTGTTGGTCGTCAATGATTCGATAACTCATCTTCAGGGAACTACATATTTGTAATTGACGGTTAGAGAAGGAGTGCGTGAGATAAAGGTAATCTTCAATTTCCTAGTAATCTCGTGTAAGAGTTCCTTTAGAGGTATCATATAGAGATCCTTTCTAGAAAAGCTAGATGCAGTAACCTTTAGAGGTATCATATAGAGATCCTTTCTAGAAAAGCTAGATGCAGTAACCTTTAGAGGTATCATATAGAGATCCTTTCTAGAAAAGCTAGATGCAGTAACCTTTAGAGGTATCATATAGAGATCCTTTCTAGAAAAGCTAGATGCAGTAACATCGTCGGTCCACTTGAAAGTAACCTATCATTGTATAGAAGGAAGGTCGACCGCAGTTAAAACCAACTTTGAGGAGGAAAAGTAGATCATAGAGATCATCTGTAAGGATATTCTCGCGTTGGATACCAAAGTAGAAGAAATTATAGGAATACCAATATGTTCGACATAGACGTCCGTAATGATGAAGTTCGACCTATTCTGGATGGTTAGTTTGAGTATATTCAGCTCGACCTATTCTGGATGGTTAGTTTGAGTATATTCAGCTCAAAGATAACCCTACTCGATCACTAAAGATAAGCTTTGGGCTTCCCATGGAAGTAAGGACCACCTAATTGAATGTCTCCAAGATAACACATACCTTTTCGTTATCTCTCTACATGAGATTCTCGACATTAACCCTGACGTGGCATCCCATCAATTGAATGTGGACTCCAACACCCGTAACATCTCCCAACAGTAGAGGAGGAAGTACCTGAAGAAAATTGAAGCCACCTCGAGCATGATGAAGTACCTATTGGATGCAATATAAATTTTTTATGCAAAGTATATAGGGTGGTTGTCCAACGTCGTTCTGACAAAGAAGGCCTTGGAAAAATGGAGAATGTGTGTTATATACACGAATCTCAATAGACTCTTCACAAAGGATTCTTACCCGCTCCCGAACATTGACAAACTCTAGGATAATTATGCCAGGTACCAGTTACTTTCATCCATGGACACTTACTCTGGGTACAATAAGATACATATGTTCGGGCCCGACTGGATAAAGACAACATTGATGATCGAGCGTATCAATTACCAGTACAATGTCATGCCCTTCGGGTTAAAGAGCGTTGGTGCAATGTATCAGATGATGATAAACAAGATCTTTCAGGAAGAGATAGCAGAGAGGCTGAAGGTGTACATGGAATACATGATCATAAAGTCCAGTTGGGATGAGGTGTACATGGAAGACATGATCATAAAATCCAATTGGGAGGAGCTTCACGTTCATCACCTCCACGGGTATTCACGTGAGTCCGGCAATATTGAGACTCAACCCAAAGAAGGGCACTTACGGGGTAAGGGTCGATAAATTCTTAGACTTTTATCTAACTGAGTGAGGAATCTAAGCGAACCCCGAAAAGTGTAAAGTAATGACCAAAATGAGTTCACCTACTCCAAAAAGGAAGTCCATGAATTGAATGGTGTGTTGACTGAATGGAACATATTCATTTCAAAATCCCCCCCAACACGCTTTGTCTTTTTATAGATTACTGAGAAAGAAGATTAATTTCAAGCGGACGACTAACTGTGAAGATGCATTTGAATCTCTGAAGAAAACCTTGGCTACACCTCTTTGGGACTCACTAGGCCACTTCCGGAGGAAACATTGTACATGTATCTAGTTTTCACTGAGGAGGTTGTGAGTGTCATCGTGATTAGAGAAGCGGACTTTAATCAGAGCTTAGTGTACTTCATATAAAAGGCCCTAGCGAGGGCGGGAAATTGATACCGAAAGATAGAAAAAGAAGCCTTGGTGTTAGTGACAACATCACGTAAGCTCGGAAGGTACTTCCTCACTCATTCCATAGTTGTCCGGACAAAATTACCCTTGAAGCAGGTGCTTTACTAGCCGTACCATGTTGTCTGAATTTGAATCATCCTTCGAGGCTATGAAAGCATTGAAAGCTCAGTTGTTCACTGACTTCTTGGCTGAAATTACCCTCGTATCTCTATAGCCATATCACACTTCAATTATATTCACGAACGAGGAAGTGGTGTATACGTAATACTGGAAAGCAACTCAAGGTTTGTGGTGGATGTTTCTCTCAGGTTTGAGTACCCAACCACAAAAAACCAAGAAGAATATAAATTAGTAATCCCGTGGATAAATGCTAGGCAAATAAATGGGGACTAAGTGCATTAATCTACGTACAGACTCCCAATTGTTTGTCTCTCAAGTTAAAGGAGAGGTCTAGGCTAAAGACCCATTGTTATAGTGATATATTATTCTAGATACTAGGAAACTAGAGAGATTCAGGACGTTCGAGATTGCCCATGTACCACAAAAGGAGAACACTTGCGCTGATGTATTATCTTAGTTAGGCAGCACGAGGAGCCCTGGGATTAATCACTTTTTCATCCAAGAAATTAGAAAAAACCAAACATCGAGTCCTATGGGAAAATGGTAGTTGTCGTGGATAGTGCTGCCCCATCGTCTTGAATGACCCCGATCCATCTGAAGCGACTTTGGTGAAAATAAGGGCAAGTGAATGCACGGTGATCGTTGGAACTTTTTGTAAAAGAGGCCTATCTATACATTTGCTAAATAGTTTAGGGTATAAAAGTTCCACCAATGTCACACAAAATGATCTAGCTCAAAGATTATGAAGCATACTTTCTCTTATCCTTATTTTCACCGAGGTATAAAAGTTATGTCATACGAAATATGAGATATATTTTTTTATCGAACAAACTTAAAAATTAGAGTGATAATCTTGCGGCGATATCGAAGATCAACACCACCTTTGTCAAATTTCACATCAGTCAATTACACTCAATTTTAATTTCTCAGCAGAACAAATTTTACATATAAATAATAATGTATTAAATTTATTAAAAATATTTCTTCAGTGAAATTGATAAAAGAGAAGTTCTTATATTTTAATAATGCCTGGTTCAATTTTTAACAAACAAAATTTAATTTATCTACTTATTTTAAAAAATTTGATTAAAATAATTATTTTAATCTTCTATACATGTTGGGTTGGCTTTTGTTTTGCATTACCCCCACTTGATGCAAATTTAAAATGTATGAGCCAAACAAAGAACTTCCATTGAACAAGTTATACCTCACATATGACTCGAGGAAATTCATGAAACCATGTCACCTTAAAGCAATCCAAAACGATTGCTTTCATTTCTAAGAAAACTCAACAATTTCATTGAAAGTAATCATTATAAATATATCAATCAACAAATCTAATTTGTTCAAGTTCCATTATAACATTGCCATAGTTCTTTGAAACTTTAAAGCAAACAAGAGCAACAATTAAAAATGGTGTCTACTTTGCAATCATATATCTATGAAGATTTGCAGCCAAAAATTGAAACACAGAATACCCCAGAATCTCACCTTCTCATTGTTTACATTCCTGATGGTATTGCATAATTTAGTTATTTTTATTTATTTTAATTACTAAATAAGATGATTCCATCCCTTAATTTCTTTTGCAAATTATTGAATGCATCTTATAGGTTTTACAAAAGGAGATCTTGGTGCAAAAGTTGAGTATGATTTTGGAAGGGTGAGTGTTTTTGGTGAAAGATCAATTGGATCAAATAAAAGGAGCCGTTTCAATGAAAAGTATCAAGTTCCAACACATTGTGATATTGGCAATATTAGAGGTAAGTTTGATGGAAAAACTGTCACTATTACAATGCCAAATATTCCAGGTAAAGTTCCTCCTCAACCAGAACAAAAACCAGTTGAAGATAATAATGCTGCTAAGGTAAATGATCAAAAGGATCAACAAAACACTTCTCTTCAAGATCCTAAATCAAATGTTGAAAGTAAAGAAGATGCTACTCCACAAGATGCGCAAAAAGTGACTACTCCTCAAAAGGGTTTAGAAGAAACTTCTCAAAAAGATCAAGTTACAAAAGATGATGAGAATCCAACCTCGCAAGAAGCCACAAAAGAGTCTATAGCTCAAAAGGGTCCGGACGAAATTTCTCAAAAAGGTCAAGAACAAATTTCTAAAAATGAGTCCGTACCTCAAAAGGATCGAGAAGAAATTTCTCAAAAAGAACATGTGCCTCAAAAGAGTCGAGAAGAAATTTCTCAAAAAGAACATGTACCTCGAAAGGGTTGGAAAGAAATTTCTCAGAAAGAGTTTATACATAAAAAGGATCAACAAGAAAATTTTCCGGAATCTCAAGTTACAAAAGTTGAAAGAAAGGAAAAATCTCATCACGAGACTTCAACATCGAAAGGAACACACGAGTCTATGCCTCAAAAGAGTCAAGATCAAGAAACTCCCAATAAAGCCGCAGATACAAAAGATGCAAAACTTCAAACACAAGAAACCACATCAAGTCAAAAAGATGAGAATAAGGAAAATCAAAAGCCAGTAAATGAAGAAACTAAGAATCATCTTAAGAAAACTATGGAATCAGAAAAGCCACAAGTTATGAATGATTCTTCCCCTACATTTGAAAAGGAAACCGAAGAAGAAAGCAAAGAATCTGCAAAAGTTGAAACTTTTCCTCCAAAGAAAACATTCATAGAGAAAGAAAAGGAAATGATCAACGATAAACTTGGCGATGATAACTACGATGATGAGAAAAAAAGTGATAAAAAGAGCTTTCATGAATCAACAAGAACAAGAATCAAAGACATGGCTTTATCTACTACTCAAGTTATAACTAATTACGCAAAGAGGTTCAATGAAGAAGATAAACAAAAGCTAATATACACTGGTGCAACAATTCTTGTTCTTGCACTCGGTGTTTACGCTTCTTACAAGTATCGTTCCTCGCGTAGATCATAAACAAATTTCATATGTATAAGCTTTAATTTACTACCCTATAGTATCTATCATATATGTATCATACTTGACAAATAAATAAAAGTTTACATTTAGTTACATTCAACTCCCTCTTCTTTTGAAAAGGTTGAACAAATACATTCAATATTGAAGAGCTAAAAGCATAAAAAATGTAGAGAAAGAATCATAAACTTGTTTATTCTGTATTTAAAAGCCAATCTCTCATACACATTGTGATCGGTGGATCTGGAACTGACTGTTTAACGCTGGTTCGCGAAATGTCGCGGAAGCAAGAGTCGCCACCGTCTTTTATTTTCTCCAAATGGAAAGGACAAAAGCACAGAAAAATTCCTTATAGAGATTGCTCTCGGTCCGGGAGGTAGATTATAGAAAGGGAAGGTGTTAGCACCCTTTCTATCCATGGTTATCCATGGGCTCTTAGATACTTGCTCACTTGTGTTTTCAAAAATGGTTTGCTTGCTTTTCAACTGTGGGTTTTAAAAAGTTTCTTTGAAAATTCCAGTTCGACTCTTGTATCAGTCCTCAAGAGTGTTTGAAAAATTGCTTTCGAAAGCTTTTTGAAAAGGTGTCAGTATGAAAAGTGTTTTTGATTTGTTTTGAAATTAGAGCAAATATCTAGAGTCGTCTACCTACCCTAAGGAATTCGTCTGTGTAAATGTCCTTTAAAGTAGTGTCATCCCACCATTGAGAGGTAGGTAGCACCACCGTTGGAGGTGTTCGGGTCAATTCGAGGGTTCGGGACATGGTGATCACCAGAGCAATAGGAAGACACCTTAGAAGCTACCCTCATGCCAGGTTCCCGGATCATGAGGACTTACTAAGACATCCTCTACTCGACGATCACCTTTCGAGGCAAGACAACAGTGAGGCGTACCCTAGGGGTGGTGTGTGATTCGTGTGTCGTTTTCATTTATTTTTGTCTTTTGTCATGTTATTGGTGATCTAACGTTTGTTTTTATTTTTGTCCATATATTCTTTCATGCCTTTGATTAACAGTTTAAAAATTGCGAGAAAAATAAAGATTCTAAGCTATTACAAAAGGCGCGGGTCCACATCGCCAAAATTTCTTGAACCCGATTTGACAGAAAAATAAAGAATTAATGAAAATAAAGTGCGCGGAATTTAATTACAAGGCCTTGGGAGAGTTACATGAATATTTAAAAGAAATAAAATAAATATGCGAATTAAATGAGAATTGAACGAGGGCGTTGGACCCTTTTTGCAAAATTTAATTAAATGATGAAATTGATTAATTAATTAAAAAGGAAAAGAAATTGTTTTTTTTTGGTATTTTTGGTTTTAATGAAAAAAGAATTAATTGCATTTAAACCTAATTCTACAATTTTTTATTTTATTATGAAAGAATTAAATTTTAACCTAATATTAACTCTAATTAATTTACATGCAATTTTAATTATAAAAATAAATATTTAATATTTTAATTGATGAAAGAAAAATAAAAAGGAATAAAAATTATCATGAACCCTAATTCTACCATTTTTTTAGATTTTATTATGAAAATATTATAATTAACCCTAATTTAATAACCAAATGAATTAATACAATTTATTTATGAAAATACTAAAAATAAAAATATTTATTATTTTTTCTTGTCTTTTTTGATTTTTTTGTGTGTTTTTTATATATTATGAAAATAATAAATTAATTAAAAACAATAATTAAAAAATAGAAATAATGAAGAATAATAAAAACTTGCAAACCTAGGGGGTCTCTGTCCCCAGAGTGGAGGTGAAATTGTGGTAATTCTGGCCCATTAAGGTCCTGGCCTTGTTGACTTTATTGACCACGTGTAGCTTCGTTGACTTATGCCTATGGTGTTCTCCAGATTCTAGCCTTCTGATTGATCTTTGAGATAGACGTGGCAAGCTTGATTTGGAGGATGCACGGTGTTCCTTGGTCACGAAATTACATACAAACGCGTTAGTAAAAATAACATGAAAGGGATGGGGGACCTGGGGCTCGAACCCAGGTCCTAGAGATTACCAGTTTTATGCCTTGCCAATCGTAATGAACGCGCTTCTTGTATATTAAATAACTGAAGAATAATATAATGAGAAAATAATGGTTAATGGAAAGTCAGCGCGCGAAATTTGAATGCTCCAATGGTGCCCTTCCACGCATCATCTTCTTCTTCGCTTATTTGTTTTCCTGAAAATATCAAAACATTGGCAACGGTTTTAACCCGTTCCCTAAGACACCATTACAGAAAATAACGATTAGGCCATGGATGCTCATAAATTGAGCGCGAGGGTGGCCTTGTGATCGTCCAATCATGCTGAATCCAGTTATGGTACTGTGGGGTTCTAATTTTTCCTGAACTGGGAAACCCCAATTCAAAGTTCTTCAAACCCTAAAAAACGATAATGGTAGATTCGCGTAGGGTGCATAAAAATTCAATCAAACATATGGGTTAGCTTCAGAATTGAATATTGAATATGAATCAAGCATCGAAAATTATTAAAAGTGCATGAATCAAGATGCAAGATTATGAGATTTTTTCTGTACAGGGCGAGGTCGTGTTACCAATCTAGGGTGTTAGAACGATTGGTTTTGATTGGAAAACTCTCCTTGAAGCTTCAGGAAGCTAATGAGATGAAAATCTTGCCTTGAATCGCCCTAGGACTAGGTTTTCAGAATTCACTTTTCAAACAAAAATTTCAAGTTCTTTGGATGCTTTTCTGCGCAGCTGAGTGTTTTTTGCATTAGGTTTTGATTCTTTGTATATGTAAGAGTGAATTAGGTCAAAGAAAACAATCCAAATCCTTGGTATTCATGGTTTGAGAGATTTGATTTTCAAAGATCTTTTTTTCAATATTTTCCATGCTATTTTGTACCAATCATGACCAATTCTCTTCAAATCTTTCCATATTTGATTATGCACGAATTTTTGAACCTATTACATGTACAAAAAGATTTGATAAATTAGGTTAAGTATTTTTCATGTATTTAATTGATTTAAATGAATTATTATTAATAAAAATTCAAATAAATAAATAAAAAATGAATAAAAACTTCCCTTTGGGCCAAGTGGTCGTGCACATGTCTTGGATGATGAATTGTGGAAGAAAAATAGGCCCATTAGCAATTTTAGGTCATTTGAATCAATGTTGACTTTTCAAAATATCCAAAAATTTCCCAACTTCCACAAGGCATAACTTGCTCAATTTTTAAGCTTTGCTCATGTTCTTGGACATTTTAGAAAGGTCTTTGAGTCCTCTAACCAATGTCTTTGGTCCCATGTCATTTTGATTTACCAATCTCAAGTTATGGCCTTTGATTTAAAGTCCCTTTTTGTTGACTTTTGAAAATGACCTATAATGTTGAAATTGATAACTTTTTGTGAGAGCATTTCTTGGACTTGAAGTATGAAGATGAGTTGTAGGAAATGTCTTTCTCTTCAAAATGAGCTTTGGATGGAATTTTTCTGATAATCCATGTGAAAGTTATGCCCTGGTCAATTTACAGTTGACTTTTTCAACTGTCCAAATAAGGAAACTTTTGCATCTTGATGATTTTTGAGCCAAGCTTTGAGAATCATGATCAAGCATTGATCAAATGATGTTTGTGGCTTCAAAATGAGATGTTGATCAAAAATTTGAACTTTTGACTGTCAAATGACCATTTTGCCCCTACAGTTGACTGCAGTGCAATTAGGGTTTTGACTGTGCAATTTTGTGCTGAAAGTCTTGAAACTTTGTATGAGGATGCTTGACCATATTTATTGGCATGTGGGACTTGATTGGGCCCTTTAAAACTTCATTTTCTTGATCAGAACCAAAACCCTAATTTTGACTGCTTAGGAGGCCCTTACACTGTGCAACCCTTGGGGAGATTTTGAAGCTTGACTTGGCAACTTCTTGAAGAATATGGGAGGGCAAATTTTGGGGTACAACAGTTGCCCCTGTTCAATCTTCTTAGACCTGAGGATGCAGATTGGCTGCCGTGCCTTTCGTAATCCGAAGGTGGAAGATGATTGAACACTAGAGTGCCCAGAAATTTGCGCTCACATAGTAGCAGTGTGATGATGGGAATGGGCTTATAGATGCCATTTGGAGATTGATGAATAGGATGATGGGCTTATAGAGGCCATCTAGATGTTGATCGCGTAAGAGATTCCTTAGCGAGAACCTGCATACCTGCAAAAGAAAAAAATGAGTACCTGACATGTTGCAGGAGCTGGTCTTCAGATGCTTTGTATGGATGTGTCCTGACTGGTTACAGGAGCTGAGTCTGGAGTTTCAAAAGATGATGAATGAACCAGGGATAGTTACTACCTCATCATGAACGGTGAGAGAACCTTGGATAACTTCAGCTTCAACGGCAGTTGTTGAGAGAATCTTGGTGGGAATTACCATCTCCGCAGGATCGGGGAGAGAACCATAGGCAATTATAATCTCAAAAGCGGACGTTTGAGAAAAACCTGGGATGGAATTATCATCTCCACACCGTTGGGGAGAGAACCATAGGAAATTATAATCTCAAAAGCGGACGTTTGAGAAAAACCTGGGATGGAATTATCATCTCCGTACCGTTGGGGAGAGAACCATAGGAAATTATAATCTCAAAAGCGGACGTTTGAGAAAAACCTGGGATGGAATTATCGTCTCCGCACCGCTGGGGAGAGAACCATAGGAAATTATAATCTCAAAAGCGGACGTTTGAGAAAAACCTAGAATGGAATTATCGTCTCCGCGGGATCGGGGAGAGAACCATAGGCAATTATAATCTCAATAGCAAACATTGAGAAAAACCTTTGATAACTTCTACTGAGTCTTCATCAGAAAAATCTGTTTGGGGTCGATTTAGCTGGACTAGAGAAGGCCTTGGACTGGATAAGAAATCTTTGGAGTCGATTAACTGAACCGGTCTCGGTCTTGAAATATGATTGAGAATTTAACTGAATCTTTCCTGAAAGATAGAGGTCAGTCATATGCGATGCATGATATGGATCAAGCGATGATGTTCTCAACATAAATGAGATTTGTAAGATATGATGCGCATATGCCTGCTATAATGATGTATGGAAGTGCGATGTTTATGAATGTATTTTTCGTCTAGGAAAGTAAATCCTTGACGGGTGCCGGGAAGTCACTCCTGGGCTGATGTTGGAGAATAGATTTTGCTTCCGCTGGGGATGATAGTTGCAAGAATACCGGTAGGAGAAGATGACTCCGTTGGGGAATAAACTTGGCGAATGGAATAACTCTGCGGGGAGGAAAGTACTCTAATGATCTTGCTGGGAAGCAATACTCTGTGGGGAGAGAGATACTTTGCTGAGTTGATAATAATAACTTGCTAGGGATATCTTTGCTGTGTTGGAAGTGCTGATAGACTTCGCTGGGGATACGAAAGAACTGTGTTGACGACGACCTTTCCGTGACTTTTCGCTGAGGATAACCCTGTTATATCCTGTTGAGGAAATAACTCTTTAAATAAAGCCGGACGACGCGTTTGCACTCCGCGAGGGGATAAGCTTCCAGAATCTACTGGGAATAAGCTTACTGCCTGGGGAGATGAATTCCAACTTTCCTGGGGAACTAGATTGGACTCTCCTGGGGAAGTTTTGAACTGCGGGGGAAGTGATTCCTTTGAATATTTGATATACCGCCGGGGAACAATCTTTAGACCAAGACTGCCGGGGATGCTTGTTAAGAATATACATGCTGCTAGGGAATGTTGGGATCTGATGGAGGATACCTAACTTCCTTAAGGTCTGATAACTTTGCTTGTGGAAGAGTGCACTGACTTGCTGGCTCACTCTCTGGGGAATTAGGATATCTGGTTATGTTCTTTAGTTGAACCTACCTGGGTACCTTGGAGGACAAAACCGTCAGATTGCTTGGACAACTCTTTATTGCCCCTGTTTCTAATGTTACTTGTAATTAATCCTTTGTTTCGTATGCAAATATTCATGAGTTAGCAATTTATTGTCAATGCATATATCACAAATTGAACCTTGGACATTCTTCGCAAAACAAAACAGAAAAAGAAAAACAATTGGCATTTTTAACTGAAAAATATATTTGTATTGATTTTTGAATGGCCTGAAAATAGGCGTTTTGTGTACAAGAGGCTGACGTCCTAGTAAGAGAACGCCGCCGAACAAAAGAGTTTATACAAATTTTGTACAAAAGAAAATAAAACAGCTGTGTGAAATGAATGATCCCACTGGGTTTCAACTCTGCTATTGTCTTTATAACTCCGAGCGTCTCATCACTTGATGACCTAAACGAAGCTGAAGCTGACTGATCGATGCCGTCCGAACTTGATGTAGATACCGGATTCTGGATGCAAAGTGATCCAATGAGACATAGAACTTGAAAAACAATTTTATAAAATCTGTTTTTAAAAATACGAAGAAAAAATTCATTTTTTAAAACTAAAACAAACATGCCCTAAACCTAAGCTATTACAAGGATTTATGAAATTTAATAGACTGATTTATACATGCATATATATAGACCAGTAAATATATCAGACTCGGACTTTTTAAAACCTGGTCTCACCTGGACTATTTCAACCTACTTCTAAAACCAATAAGATGAGATCTGATCTGATTGTTCTCCTTGACAAAATCTAGGTTTTGTTTATTCCTTTTGGTAACACATAGAAACGATAACAACATTAACAACAATAATAGCATTTACAATTAATCACAACAGGGCAGGAAGGCTCAGTACCTAAACCAAACCTTTAGTTCATAATTATAAAATTTTCAAGATAAAAAATATAAATAAAAATAAAATAAGATGAGAGAGTATAATTGGTAGAGAGAAAAACAAAAGGCATATGCTTTTGTACCTTAGTCTTTGTTGGGTGGAAATCGAACAAGTGCAACAACAACAAAATAACTCAATGACACAATCTCTTTTAAATATTAAAATGCAACGGCAATCAACAAAACACATCAAACAACACAACACAGATTTTAGTATGAAAAAACTTTCGTTAACTAGGAGAAAAAAAACCACAGTCCTGTAGACCATTTAATATCTCCACTATAATTAACAATGGATACAATCAAGGTTCTCTCTAATACTAGTTAGAGGTATACATAACATCATCAAGACTACAATCAATTTTGAAATACAACAAAAAACAAGAGAAACAATCAACCAAAACAACCACAAAAAATAGCACCTCAGAAAACCACTCGACAGACAGGTCTAGAAAACTCAAAACAAATCTCCACCATTCAGAATGTACCTCTATGAGTGTTGAATGTTGCAGTGTTATAGCGGCAAGCAAAAAGTAAGTTATTAATTTACCGGGTGATATTTAAGTTATATCGTATCGTGCCCATAAATATTAGTTATTGAATCATCGTTCGACAAATCATTTGTTAATGAGTTTGGGATTTGAATGAGTTTGGTTTGTATAGAAAGGAAAATAAATGAACATAAAATATATACATTCAATCAAAAGGAGAAATCTATCAGACATGAATTTACACTACTCGTCACAAACTTAAACTTATTGATCAGTTGCACTCAACCTACTCTACTCGTCAAAATCATCACGGACACCACGAGATGTACCCACAACAAAGGTTATGCCTAACGCTAAGTCGCTAGACCAACTGTATTACTCTATCGACAATGTCTTGCGCACTACAACAACACAGACATTAAACTTTAGCACCCAAGGTGAATATTAACTCTAAATCTATCTCTAGAATCTAGAAACTAATATATATTCATCCATAATCAAGATTTGTAAGGTATATGTCTATAACAACTCAAATCCATATATAAAGCAAAAAGATCAAATAAGACATCAAGATTGATTTGTAAAGCAAGCTTTATACAACATCATGATCAACAAATATACATATGTTCAAAGTAAATATACAAACATAACCCAACAAATAGATAAGTACATAGAGAAGAAATGGAGAAAAATCAAACATATCATTGGTTGTCAGCGTCGACTGATGAGAAATTCGACTCCGGGTCATCAAGATGCAAGCTCCATTTGTTATTTTCAAGCTCTCTCAACCAAAATTGGAGGTTTGATGAGTTGGGATCAAAAATACCTAAAACATAACCTAAAAATGTGTTTTTACCCTTTTAACGTGTTTCTGTCTTGTCAGTTTCGCCGGGCGAAATACACCAGAAGTAACAGCAGAAAATTCTGCACTGTTTCAGCCATAACTTGAGAACCGTAACTCTGATTTCCGTCCGGTTCGAAGCATTGGAAAGCTTATTCAATGCTCTTTCTAACAATGACAAAATATCAAACAAATTGATGATTTTTTTATTCTTTTATTTTGAGCCTTATTCATTGATGAGATGCTCAAAATCGCGCGTTTGAAGTCGTGTCTTCAACATTTTATTGTCCATGCTCTAAATACACATCAATAACTATAAAATAAATTGAAAACTATCAAATGATACACAAATATACAAAAACTCGATTAAATACAATTTATACATAATTATACAAAAAGTGGAGAGTTATTCAAGGATATTAACAACAAAATGTCAATAAGTACAACAAAAAGTATATACAAAATAATTACATTTTTACATTTATCATTGAACACTGTCACCAAAAATCAGGACGATCAGACAGTTGAATTGTGAGAAAAATTTGATCTCTTATGAATGGTCTGTGTTGAATTGGGACTGTGGGAATTTCACTCTTCTCTCTATATTTCTTTTTGTCTCTCGCATAAATGAATTAATGACTTAATTCTCTTTGTTGGATTATAACAAAGACTTACGTGCACATGTAGTACTAATTCACATTCATTTGAACCACTTCAAATAAGATGAATAACCCAACATTCTTTTGCCCATCGCAACAATTATAAAAGAATCTTTAGATATGTAACTTGTTTCCTATAGATCTGATTTATTTTGATTTTGACATTTTTCCCATTTATATTTTGATTTGCTTGTTTCATTTTGATTTTGTTTAGTTTTTATTTATGTTGAATATAATTTAATTTTTGTTTTGTTTGGTTGTAATAGATGAATCTTTGTTCTTTTTTTTCTTTCAATAATTTAGAAATTATTGTTTTTCTTCCACTGAATTTTTCATTTAAAATAAAATTAGTACATATTCTTTTTCTTTATTTAACAGATTCTAATTTGTATACTTTACAAAATGTTATGAATATAAATAGAAAGAATCTGGCTGTTTGCCTTACCTCTTGAGGGAAATTTAAAATGTATGAGCCAAACAAAGAACTTCCATTGAAAAAGTTATACCTCACATATGACTCAGGAAATTCATGAAGCTATATCTTTTTAGATTGCTTTCATTTCTAAGAAAACTCAATAATTTCATTGAAAAAAATTTCCTCAAATTCCATTTTAGCATTATAATAGTTCTTTGAAACTTTAAAGCAAACAAGAGCAAAATTTAGAAATGGAGTCAACTTCTCAATCATATATCAATAAAGATTTGCATCCAAAAATTGAAACAATGGATACTCAAGAGTCACACATCTTCATTGTTCACATTCCAGATGGTATTGCATAATTTATTTTATGTTTAAATTTTTATTACAATTTTTTAAATCAATTTGGCAGAGAGCATATATAGTAAACTAGTTTTTTTTAATCTGATTAACTAAAGTTTGAATCTAATTTAAAAAAAATATGTTTATATTTAATGTTTGACAATGTTTTGATCATGATTATTTATATAAATTTCGTGTATATTTGATTTTAAGTTTGAAACACTCATATATAATTTTGAATTTGTAGAATTGATTTTAATATATCTGGTTGTTTTTCAGTGAATTTATTGACTATGTTTTTTAAAATTGATTTTATTTAAAACTATAATTTTTTTAGATTTTAAGTTTAAACGTATTTTTTATCATGAAATTTTTGATTTAAGATTCAACTCAAATTTAATATAAATTTATTCAAATATTAATCACTTTATATTCAAGTCATTTTTAACCCGAATAAGTTTTGTAATTTTTCAATAAAATGTCTCTTTTGATGTTTTATCAACAATGGTTTTTTTTTTTTTGTTGTTTCATTATTTTAAATGCTAAATATTAAATAACTTAATTTTTTTGCAAATTATTGAATGTAATCTTACAGGTTTTACAAGAGGGGATATTGGTGCTAAAATTGAGTATGATTTTGGAAGGGTGAGAGTTTTTGGTGAAAGATCAATTGAATCAAATAAATTTATACGTTTCAATGAAAAACATCAAGTTCCAACACATTGTGATATTGGCAATATTATAGGTAAGTTTGATGGAAAAACTGTCACTATTACAATGCCAAATATTCTAACTAAAGTTCCTCAACAAAACACTTCTCTTCAAGAACCTAAGAAAACATTCATAGAGAAAGGAAAGGAAATGATCAATGATAAATTCGGCGAAGATAGCGATGATAAGAGCGATAAAAAGAGCTTTCGTGAATCGACAAGAACAGGAATCAAAGGCATTGCTTTATCTACTACTCAAGCTGTAACTAATTATGCAAAGAGGTTCAATGAAGAAGATAAACAATGGTTAATTTACACCAGTGCAACGATTCTTGTCGTTGCACTCGGTGTTTACGCTTCTTACAAGTATCGTTCCTCGCGTAGACCATAAACAAATTGCATATCTACCATATTTGTATCATACTTGACAAATAAATAAAAATTTACATTGCGAGCTTACTTTGTTTTGGATCGCAGATCAATAGTCGTTTGTTCAAATTCCGTTACGCTATAATCTAGTTCTTGAAATTGCACAATTCTTCAAGTAGATAGACTCTTCTAGTTGTCGAAATTGTGCAATCTGTCGTCTAATCTCCAAATAGGTATACAGAATATTAAGATCCCTAAAAAGAATGAGGAACATATTGTGATTACATAATAAACATATGCTCTCCAAGGATGCATGCTTTCTCTCATTTCATTGAATTCAGCAACAAAGGTAGAGACTGTACTCAAACAACCTAACAGACCAAACTGTATGCCTTTTATGATAGTGTCACAATCTCTGGTGTTCACCTGCATCAAACAAGTGAGATATATATATATATGATCATAATACTAGTTTTGATTCTTTGAAAACAAACTTATAGATATGCAAGTTCATACAAACATGAATCTAAGATTTATAAGGTAGTTGAATTCAGGTCCGTCTTTAAGAGCATGCATGGTGGGCTATTGCTAGGACTACTCACAACAACCTTTGAACGGAACGGAACTGAATTGAAGTTAAAATAACCGAACTGTTATGTTTCATTAATGAATCAAACCATGTTGCGCAAACAGTTCTAGAACCAAACCAAATGACAAATAATCTGAACCGAAACTGAAACCGAACAAATGGTTCGGTTTAGGAAAAACTCTCTTCTAACGATTTGATACGGTTCAGAATTCCGAACCGGTATACCAAACCAATAATATTGGTTCAATTCGTTTCTTGATAAATCGCAATGGGTCGGTTCGGTTCGGTTCGGATGACCTTTTACGATAGTCCAATAATATTCAGTTCGGTTTTGACAAAATTGTACCATGAACACCCCTAACTACTGCACATAGCCTAAAATTTGTCACAATTAAATTGTATCTATATAGGTCCTCATAAAAAATTCGTCACTATTAAACGGTGGAAAAATAGGCCTCCTATTTGTTTTGCCACGATTAAATCGTAGCTAACTCCAAAAACTTAAGACGGCCCTTAATGAATGATATTGTAGAAAGAAACTTACATATATCTTTGTTGTAGCAAGGGCAGCCATGATACAAGCAGCAGAGACATTTGCAATCAGAGTTCCAAATGGAATCCAATTCAAGAAACATGTTGATCCTAATCCATGTCTATTCAATGGAGCTAAAAGCCACCTAATCCACACACCAAGAGGCCCAACTATGCAACCAATCCACAGAAATGAATTTTCATCATTCTTGAACTCCGATATCACTAACACACCACTAACACACCATAACAAGCCTAAAATCAGCAATAACACCACCATAACTATCAAGTGATTCTTAAAACTTTTCACATTCGCTTTGATTTTATGTCGACTAGTTTCACTTGCGCTCGTGTTTCGTCTTCTGAGAAACCACCGGAAGCCCTTAGCTGTTTCTATCCCGAATATAATCGAAAACGCTACAAGAAAAAGCCCTGAAGAATTCCAATTATTCAAAAGCTCATCCTATCATTACATTACAGACCAAAACATAGTCATCAAGTTTTGGTTCTTATGTTTACCTATCAGATAACCAAGCACAACATAGAGCCAATTTCCCGTGACACTAAGTTGGAGCATTTTCTGATTCCAGCCGCTAAATGTTGTTAGACTCCCTAAGTAACCAGTTGTCAATGCAACAGCCAGATGCTCAGACACATTTGATATGTCTTCTTTGAATACAACACCAAACCATCCCATCAGAAAAGAACCAACCTAGAAACATGTTCAAACATATTCATAAAAAAAGACGTTGGCGCTTAAGGAATAAGTTAATCCAAACAGATTCATATTATACAAAAGAGTGAGGAAGGGAACAAAGTAGAGACCATATTAGAAGGAAGGTCGAGATAAAGAATAGTTTGGTCACTAGTTACATGACCAACACTAGGGCCAAATAACTTGTCCAATGTATATCTAGTTAATACCTGCATCATATCAGCAAAACAAAAAAAGTGAATTAGTATCATCCTCAAGAGTTAAGACTATTGATAGATCTTTACCATAGGTCAGTGTTGTCGATAGCGGAGAGCCAAAATCCCGCTATAACAGCCGCTTTTTAGCGGAAAAACCAGCAGTATCGACCGATATATTATTTACCTTTGCAGCAAACTCAAAAACCCTTATGTATTTCTGTCATAGTGGCTATGGCGCCAGTATTTGATAACACTACAGACATAGGTGTGTAGTCTGATATTTCAAGTTGAAGTTGTGTCAGGTGTCTGACACAGACATATGTAATTACGTTCAATTATTCTATTCTTGAAGATAAGAAGATAGCAAATTACCCCAAGAATACCAAAAACAGCCAAATGAATAAGATATGAAGCATAATCCAATAACTTGGGCAATTCTTTATTAGTATCCTGCAACTAGTTCACAACAAACACAATTGCATCATTTACCATAAGGAAGAAAAAAGATTTAAAAAAAATGTGTAACTTTTGAAGTAGTTATGACAAAATCGATTGACGGACAGTGTACAAGAATTAACTTCAACAAAATATGTTTTGAATCTTTCATCATCTAATGAAAAGAAATTGAAACCAAGAACAATGTTAATACAAGCAGTGAATAAAACTCACATGTTGTATATCTTGAGAACCCTCTATTTGATTGGTTAAGAGAGGGGATATTTGTTCAGATGTTACAGAATTGGATGCACCAAGATGAAGCTGCTGCAATTTGTTAACTCCAACATCATGCTCCATTTCATGTGCTATGTGTGATTTCATGAAGTAAGGACTAATGTTACCTCACTTTTTTTTTAATAAAAGACTACTCATTAGATTCATTGAATAACTAATCTATATAAGTTATCCAATAAATCTAAAAAATATTTTGTCTATTATAAATCAGATAAGTTGGGTTCGAATCCAGCCTTGTTCGATTAAGATCACAAGACTACAATTATTTGAACTTTGTGAGGACGTGGAATAAGACGGATGTAGCATATTCACATTCCACTGTAATATGAATTTAGTGCATTTATTTTTTCCACACAGTCACGAAGTCAAGCTACTATGACTATCTGATTAAGATCGGTTGGTCTCAATTGAAGTATAAAATTATTAAATGAAAATATATTTGCACTTTTCAATCAATCGGTTCAAGAGCAAAAGACTACAATTATTTTGATTGTGTGATTGCATGGAAAAAGTAATTGCAGCTGCAACAGATTCACATTTCATTAGTCTCTGCAGTTGCATACGAAAAATACTCGTGTATATATAAAATTTTGAATAATTATACTATCATTTAATAAGAAGACATGTGGTATTTATTTGTATGCACAACTTAAAAGATAAGATGGGACAAGAGAAAATGTTGAAAGTTAAGATGAAAACTGACCACATTGTTTAGAGAATAAGCAAATTGGATCTTTGTGATAAAAAAAGAGCACCATCAACTTCTCATCAGTTTTACACTTTTATTGTTTTGCTTTTCGTAACAACAATTTGCGGTACATAAACCCTAATTGATTGATAAGTGCTTATAAATTAGTTACATTTATTTAATTTTTTTTATGGATTTAATTGAAGTAAATTGAAGATGTAAAAAAATTTTAGACCGTCAATAAATCACAATCATTAATTTATTTAAAAAGTTTGACTTTAATTTTAAATTCTTTTAAAGTATTACATTTTAATGGTTATAATGTATTATTAGTATAAATTTACACCAATAACATATCAATTAAACTCCTTTTCTATATCTAACATCCCCTACATTTGCAACTTACGACTCTACGATTCTTTACAATTTTATTAACTAGAATATAGGCCTATCTTGTGGATTTATAGTCAACCCCTTTCGAATAAATTTGGAGGGTGAATGGAAAAATAGATTGTTGTGAAAAACAATACCTTAAAATAAAGTATAAATTTGTTTTTCTATGAACAAGAAACAATCAAGGATAGAAAAGATGATAAAACAAGAAAAACACAATGAATTAGTTATTAATTGATATTCTTTTATTTCTCTTCAAACAAGATTATAAGTACACAAGAATAACAAATAACTCTCTCACCCTAAATTAGGATTTGATGTATGCAATGATAAGAGACTAGTATGATATTTATAATAAACCTAACATATTAAATTAATGGGTTTTTTCACAAATACCCATTACAAACTAACTTAGGGTACAAGTTAACTTAAACAATTGGAATAATAAACAAGCTCAACTCGATGCTAACAATCCTATCATTCTTCGACTACTGTATGTGTGATCCTTCTTCGACTACAACATACAATACTTCGACACCAGCATGTGAGCAACATTCGACTGCATGTTACAACTCTGTCGAACTGTCGAAACCAAAAAGCTATCATTCGACCAACTAGAGTTCGATTCTAATACTCACAAATCTCCACCTCGGAACAAACTCTAATATCAAAGAACAAACTAGCTTTCTTCATGCAGCTTTATCAACTACATACAATGGAAAAACTTTCAACTGAGCAATGTCTTGGTGATCATATCAACAGCATTGTGATCTGTCGAAACCTTTAAAACTTGGACTTTTCCACGCTCGATTACCCCTATGATGAAATGTAGCCTCACATTAATGTGCTTGATTCGCTCATGATAGGTTGAATTCTTCGACAAGTATATTACACTTTGACTATCACATTTAACAGTGATAACTTGGCCTTGAAGTTTCAGCTCCCTATCAAATTCTTCAAGGCACAATACTTCTTTCACAGCTTCAGTGAGGGTAATATATTCTGCTACATTGGTTGATAAAGCAATAACCTTCTGAAGTGTTTCTTTCCAACTAATTGTTGTTCTAAACATAGTGAAAACGTATCTAGAAATAGATTGTCTGGGATCCATATAACCTGCATAATCAGAGTCGACATATCCTTCGATTACTGTCTTACTATCTTCATCCAAGACTCCATCATAAATTAAGACTTTGTTCAGAGACTCAATTATGTATCTTAGAATCCACTTCAATACTTGTCAGTGAGTCTTTCCGGGATTCGCCATGTACCTGCTAACAAGACTTACAAAATATGATATATCAGGTCTAGTACAGACCATATCATACATCAAAGAACCTACTATGTTAGCATATGAGATGCTATTCATATAAGTTCTTTTGACATCAGTACTGGGACACTGATCAATACTCATCTTGAATTGAGGGTTTGTTGGTGTCACAACAGACTTTGAATTCGACATACTAAACTTGTCAAGAATCTTCTGTAGGTATGCCTCTTGAGATAAGTATAATTTCGACTATTTTCTATCTCTTCGAATGTTAATCCCAAGAATTCTGGATGCAGCTCCCAGATCCTTCATATCAAACTCCTTATTGAGTTCAACCTTCACCCTCATTACATCTTCGACATTGTTGCTTGCTATGAGAATATCATCCACATAAAGTAACAAAATAACAAATGAATTACCCGGTCAAAATCTGAAGTAAACACAGTGGTCGAACTGACTTCTAATGGAACCTATGTGTGCCATGAACTTGTCAAATCTCTTATTTCATCGTCGAGGAGATTGTTTCAGTCTATATAAAGATCTATTCAACTTGCACACATAATATTCCTTTCCCTTTTCGACATATCCTTCAGGTTGTCTCATCAAAATTATTTCATCTAGATCACCATACAAGAACGCAGCCTTCACATTCATTTGTTCCAGTTCAAGGTAGAATTGTGCCACCATGGCAAGCAATATTCGAATGGACATGTGCTTCACAACAGGAGAAAACACACCATTAAAGTCGACACCTTCTTTCTGAGTGAAACCCCTTGCAACCAATCTTGCCTTGTATCTTTTCGACGCCACTCCTTTGATTTCTTCCTTAACTTTGAAAATCTACTTATAGCTGACTAACCTAGCTCCTGCAGGTTTCTTGACCAGTTTCCAAGTGTTGTTATCATGAAGAGATTTCATCTCATCATCCATGGCCTTCAGCCATTCAGTCTTATTTCGAATCCTCATAACTTTCTTATGGTTTCTAGGTTCTTCGTCTAGAAGCTCACTTGCAGAGATTAAGACATAAGTTATAAGATCTGCATATCCAAGTCTCTAAGGTGGTTTGATGACTCTTGTCATTCTATCTCTTGCCAATAGGTAGTCATCGATAGTTTCCTCAACTTCCTCAACATCTTCTACTTCGTCTTCAACTTCATCTGGGATACACAATTCAGCATCAACATGCTCCACCTCAACAGGAATCTCTACATATTCCAGCTCTTCGTCAGATATTTCTGCACTTCGATCAACATCATCAATTTTCTTGAAAGCTATTTCAGCTTCATTGAAAACTACATCTCGATTAGTGATACACCTCTTGTGACCTGACTCTAGGCACCATATCCTATAAGCTTTGACTCCTTCAAGATATTCCATAAACATGTATTTCAGAGCTCTAGGTTCGACCTTGTCTTGTCTAATGTGAAAATAAATTTACAATTCATGAAACAAATTCCCCATAAAATATTGACCATATTATTTCTTCAGCTTTTCCAAACTCTCTAAGAATTATCTCTCTAAAATATAAGAGAATAATTTTTTTATATATTGGATCAAACAAACTACTCCCTCCGTCTCATAATGAATTTCTTATTTAAATAATATGTGGTTCTAAAGAAAATGATTAGATGTATTAGTTTTAGTGAAAAAATTAATACATTTACTAAAATATCTCTATTAGTTATAGTTAATAGAATAGTTGAATAAAATAAAAGTTAATAATTAAGAGTATAAAAATAGAAAAAGAATAATAAATGATACATTCTAATTATAAAATGATAATTATTTTGAGACAAAAAAATATAAATGAGACAATTATTATGAGATAGATAGAATAATAAATAAGAGTTGATAACTAAAATATCCACATATTATATTGTTTAAGTAGCTGGTCAGAAAATTAACCATCGAACTAACTCGACTTTTTTTATTAAATTTATTTATTAAGAAATTAGAAATTACTTTGAATTTTTTATATTTCAGAATTTAAACATTAATTCAGGTATTTTAATTAGATTAAAAATATACACTATTATACTATTATACCACTTTTACTATTATACCACTTTTAAAGATAGTGCATTGTTAATATAAAAATCTTTTACACATACGATCAATTAAAACTTTTATATTTATCATATTATTTCAATTTTTAAAAAAGATAAAAATGTAGTTTATTGTGATAAATGTATGTTATTAGTTGACAGTATAAAAATATTTTACATTAATTTTTTTTTTCTCTTATACCATAATATTAAAAAGACAAATTTTTAGATATTCATGATAAGTAATTGGATAATAATATCTTTAGTATAAATTGTTTTTAAATTTTAATTTATTTTAAAATAAATAAATAAAAACAACATAACATTGAATTATCATATTTAATTGAGTAAGGATACCGATAGTCAACTAAATTGAAGGGTTACTAGAGTGATCACATATTAGAAAATGCTAAATATAATTCAACTAAGAAATGTCCAAGGTTAAATTGAAGGAACATTATTTGTGTGTGAATTTCTATTTAAAGTAGGAGCATTATTTGTGCGTGAATTTCTATTTAAAGAGTGCACTTTTGATAAGCCGCACTAGTATTTGGCTTTCTTCATCATGCTTGAGACTTATAATAAAACTTGTTTGCTTTAGATATACATTCATTCATGTGTGATGTGCGTGGTCATAACTCAAATATATTGCACCAACTTACATGCATAAAGCAAACTCAGATATTGGAAAATGACTTTTTGGATTCGTGTGAAAAGAGATACTATTAGATGATGCAAAAAGAAACTCAATGGCTCTAATTTTGATTTGTTATTGTTAACTCATGGGATATTTTACAATTTTCTTTTCTTAGGTCCATTGGGTCCTCCTTGTAATTCTATATATTCATCTTTGCTTACTGTTGTAGGGTTAATGGAAAATAATTTCATATTTGATGTGCCTCCGCTGACAGTTGTCAACATAGATTATTCTTATTCTTCTTCTTCACGTGATTCTTATCACGTTTTCTTTGTTATCCTTTCTCTTTCAATCTTTCGACAAATATGATGACACCACTCAAGACAATATTCCTTCTATTCTAACAACAGACTAACAAAAGGCCCTTCTTGCCCTTCTGCAGCAGACAATGTCATCATCAAAAAACACAGTTTAACCCCTTCAGACTTCCCAATCATGCAGCAGACAATGTCATCATCAAAAAACACAGTTTAACCCCTTCAGACTTCCCAATCAGGTATCATTCCTACTATTTTATCTACAAATTGGTTGCTTGACACAGGAATCACAGATCAGTCTATGTTTACTTCTCTTAATGAAATCAATCATATCAACATTAAACTTCTTAATGGAAACATGATCACCACCAATCAATTTGGCTTCATCTGGTTTTCACCCAAGTTGTATCTACAAAATATGTTTTTTATACCTTCTTTTTTCACCAATATCATATTTGTTTCTAAACTATGCAAAAATCCTTCAACTGTACCCTTCAATTTATTGACACTCAATATCTCTTACAGGGAACCCATACCTCGATCAAGATTGGTGAAACTAGGATTCACAATCAACTTTATTCCCTCATTTTACCTACTGATCAGAATCTCACTTCCCATAATAATGCCTACCTTCCCACAAGCATATATTGAATACTATTTCCAATCGGCACAATCGCTTGGGACACCCTTCCTTTGAAATTTTACAACATATTAATAAAGTTTTCCCTTTACAACATTTATCTCATTCTAAACTTCCATGTGATGCTTGCTTTTATACTAAACAAAAACGTATACCCTTTTCTGGAAGTCATACTCAAACTGCTAACTGTTTTGATCTTGTTCACATGGACATTTGAGGTCCTACATCTATTGTTTCTACTTTAGGACATAGATTTTTTTTTACTGTGATTGATGATTATAGTAGATATTATTATACGAAGGCGCGTATCTAGAGGCGCATAAATATTTCTAGACACAAATCTAGAAATTTATCGTTTTCAAAAACTTTTATGCGGAAGCAATAAATTGGATAAGCCGTCTAAAAACAACTTATTAGAAACTCGGACATACAAATTTTAAGAGAAGAATCTATGAGATAAAATTGACAAATTGATTAATATAAACTCAATACAACAATCCACTTATTTATTGTTTGAACACAATCACTTTACAATGCTATTTTCGAGGCTAAATAATAAAAGAATAAATATGATCATTTTATCAAACACTTGGCGTGCAAGTGAATTTTCAAAATTTCTCTTTGATTAGTGTTGATATGTAAAACCACTTATAATCAAAATTGATTATAAGCTATATCCACACCTATTTCAAAAATATATTTTGAGAGAAAAATTCTTACAATTCAATTACTATCACAATGCTATTTGATAAATGATTGATAGAATGATAGCAAGTAAAAGTGAAAAAGTAAAAGCACGCGAGAAATTTGTCTACACAGTTCTCCATTATCGTCCTCGCGTGTGGGTGCGTCTGCAGCTAAATTCCAATGGAACTTAAGATGATTTTTATATGCAAAATGTTTAATACAATAAGAAGAGTTAGAAATAACGATACAAAATTCTTTAATTTGATGTTAATGCTCCCTCTTCAACCTTTGATCTTAAGCAAGATCAAATCAATCGGATAGATGCAACCTATTCGCCGCTTAAGCTACTTCCTTGAAAGGATTTCAAACACACCAAGGATCCTTGAAAGGATTTCAACCACCCCAAGGGATCTTTCACTCGAGTAAATCCGATTGCAAACTATCAACACAGGATCATCGATTCTATCACCCAATCCTTGCTAGTTCCTTGAAAGAATTTCAAACACCCCAAGGATCCTTGAAAGGATTTCAACCACCCCAAGGAATGTTTCACATGGATGAACTTTCGAACGATCTTGCACGAAAACCACCAAATCAACCAATGATCTTGGAGGATAAACCCGACGATTTTTCCGGATGAAACCCCTAAAAAATCTCAACCCAAACCAATTGGAAATCCATAATTCTTTGTCTAGATGGCACCCTGATGGAACATCGTTACAATGTAATGTTGGTGTGTATGCATAGATTGGAAGGTTGAATATGAAGAGAGAAAGTAGGTTAATTTTATAGTATCATCAAGTTGTGAATGATGCATGAATGAGTATTTATAGTTGTAGGAAAAATAGACCAACAAGGGAAGATTCATAATAAAAAGAAATTAAAAATTGACCAAAAGAAACAGAATGAGTCGACCTGAAATTCATATGTATCGACGCATACTTTGTGTTTAGGTCGTATGTGTCGACCTGAAATAATGTTATGATTCGACCTGAGTTACAGAGACTAACAGGCTTATCTCGCTAGTAGATGTGTCGTCCTGAAAGACGGGTGTGTCGCCACATAAAATAGAAAATTCTGGTTTTTCAAAATCTAATCAGTATGTGTCGACCTGTATGGATGCATGAGTCGGCATATATGGATGCATGAGTCGACCTGTGACTTCCAGAAGCTACGGGCTTTAAAAATGGGTTACATGTGTCGACCTGAAACTCGAGTGTGTCAACACATGTAAGTGAAAATCATGCGGAAATTGTTTTTCAAAGGTTTGGATCAATTTCAATATGCTTTTTAATGATTCCTAAGACCTATAATGCAGAGGAGTGCCACAAGACATGGAGATACCCTTTTGTTAAACGCGTGCCTTTTCTTACCGGTTTTGACATCATACAAAATACTTTGAAATGAAGTTGCTCTCACAAATATTGTTGGATATTTCTGATGAAACACAAGTCCGAAACATCTCACTTAATTTCATCCTTTGTTAAACTTATTAAAACTCAATTCAATAAAACTATAAAGACCATCAGGTCTGATAATGGCCCAGAATTCTCTTTATTTTTTTTACCAATCTTTGGGAATCATTCATCAGACCTCATGTGTCTATACACCCCAGCAGAATAGGATTGTTGAAAGAAAACATCACCATCTATCTGGGGTGACTCGTGCTCTTATGTTCAATCCAACACACCCAAGGTTTTTTGGTCATATGCTTTGAATTATGTTGTTCACCTCATAAATCGTTTAGCATCTAAACTTCTACATTATAAATGTCCTTTCTATGTGCTGCATAACAAACATCCTGACTACATAACTATACAAACTTTTGGTTCACTTGCCTATGCTTGTACCAAACCTGTTAACAGAACTAAACTTGATTCTAGATCGTGCAAATGTGTTTTCTTTGGCTTTAAATCTGGTGTAAAAGGCTCCATTTTATATGACATTGTGCATAAATCTGTTTTTATCTCTCGTGACGTAGTTCATTTTGAAACAATATTTCCTTTTACAAAATCTACTACATCTACTACTCTTCCTACACAACCCATTCATCATCCAAATTTTGATGACACCCTTGACTATACCACCACCCCTTCCTTCAGGTAATACTCCTTAACCCTATTTGCAATTTTCTAGATTATAATAACTTATTTGCATCTCACAAGATATTTAACTTAAATATATCTACTGTCAAAGAACCTAACTCTTATGCCATTTCTATACTTGACCCAAACTTACAACAAGCTATCAAAAATGAGCTTCAATCTCTCAATGGTACCAAAACCTGGGATTTACCTACTTTACCATATAACAAGCGAGCCATAGGCTACAAGTGGATTTTTAATCTTAAACACCATCCCAATTGTACCATTGAGAGATACAAAGCAAGACTAGTTGCTAAAGGTTTCAATCAGACACATGGCCTTGATTATTTAGAAACCTTCAGCCCAGACATCAAAATGACTACCATCAGATTACTTCTATTTATTGCTTCCTCTCATAAATGGCATATCCACCAACTTGACATCAATATTGCATTCTTACATGGTGACCTCGACGAAGAAGTTTACATGAAATGTCCCCTAGGTTTGGTTGCTGATAAGAACATGGTCTACAAGCTCAATAAGTCAATCTATGGACTTAAACAAGCTAGCCGCCTGTGGAATCATAAATTCAGCCAAACTCTTGTGCATATTGGCTTCATATAGTAAAAATTAGATTATTTTTTATTTGCTTTTACCACTATTGTCCTTGTATATGTTGATAACCTGATTCGTGCAGGAAACAGTTTAGAACATATCAACAATATCAAGCAAATTTTGGATGCTAAATTCAGCATTAAGGACTTGAGCTTCCTTAAGTATTTTCTGGGTTTTGAAAGGCATAGCTCTTTGCCAAAGAAAATATTGTTTAGACTTTCTTGAAAACACATGCCTCCTTAGTGCTAAACCGGCATCAACACCTATGGACCCTTCGCATAAGCTGGATGACCATGCTGATACACCTCTACTGGATCCTACGCAATACAGAGTGATGATATGTAAGCTTTTGTATCTCACTCACTCACGACCTGATATAGTTTATTCTATTTGCAATCCACCTGCAAGCAGCTCAACGTATCATCAGATATCTCAAAAATGCTTTTTCCCTGGGATTGTTTTTCCGTTCTGACTCCGCCCTCTTGCTGACTGGATTCACACTCAAATTGGGGTGCTTGTCCACTAACAAGAAGATCTACTACAGGATTCACATTCTTCCTTGGTGACAACATTGTAAGCTGGAAAACAAAGAAGCAGCTGGTTGTTTCTTGGCCAACACATCTGAAGCTCAATGTTGCGCCTTGGCCAACACATCTGAAGCTCAATGGCTCCTCTAGGATTTTCACATCCCTCATCCCCAACCGGTGAATATTTATTGCGACAATCAAAGTGCCATCCACATTGCATCCAATCTGGTGTTCCATGAACGTACGAAAGATATAAAAATAGATTGTCATCTCGTTCCCGACAAAATCCAATCCAAAACTATACATCTCATGCCTATCAACTCAGAAAACCAAATTGTTGATTTATTCACGAAACTGTTACATTCTAGTCCTTTTCACTCTCTTGTTACAAAACTAGGATCGTTAAACATACACTCTAATTTTAAGGCGGGTGTTAACTCATAGGATATTTTATATTTAGGCCCATTTAGAGTTTTCTTTCCTTATGCCTGTTGGGTCCTCCTTGTAATTCTATATATTCAACTTTGCCCATTATTATAGAGTTAATGGAAAATAATTTCAAATTTTCTATTCAACTTCATATTTGATGTGCCTCCGCTGATAGTTGTTAAGAGTTATTATGAAAGGGAGACAATGTTTTAACCAGCAAGAGAAAAATCTTCTAAATTAATCTAACAGTCTTCACTTATTGCACCAAAAAGAAATTAGCACTAAAAAATCCAATATTTTTAAGATTTAAAATTACAACTTAAAATGAGTTACAGCTTAGTCAAATTTGATTTAGTTAAACTCGACTAGACGGAAATTGTTCCTTCTAAAAACTTGATTCTACTTTGTCACAAAAAAATTTTTGTACAAATTTGATCCTCGATCCAGTCGAAATTTGCAAACAATTCAATTTAAGTTGAATAATGCAACTAAAGAGAAATTTTCAAAATAATTGTCACTTAATATTTTTGTACACTAATTAAAAAATGCAATTATGTTGTCATAATACATTATATTTTTATAAAATTAACCCAATTAATATATTGAAAGTAGTATAAAGAGCAAAAAAGTAAAAGACAATTGAAATTGAAAAGTGAAAATAACTATCAT